CCCGACGCGGCGCGTTAACGGCCGCGTCGGCTTTTTCAAGCTGGGCGAGGTACTGGTGGTTTAATCGGACCTGCGATGCAACGTTTCTGTGCTGGATTTTGAACCTGGGTCACCACTGCATGTCGACTCTTGTTGAAGATTTTGTGAGCGGATGAACCTTTTTTTTTTTTTTTTTTTTTTTTAACCGCTTCAGATGAAGCTGATGAGTTGAGATTATGGATTTTTTGAGATATTAGATGCAACATCTCAAGCTTACCGTCTCGGTCACCAGTACAGTGACGTTGCATCCCATTTCTGGCTCATAGACTGACCTCAAAATGATGCCCCTCATATAATCTTCACCTTTCTTCACCCTCAGGCTCCCTGTAACCGACAAAAAAATTGCTGCAAGTCAGTCCTAAAAAGATACCATCTTCCAAAAAAGATACCCATCTTCCAAAAACGCATTAAAAAAACAGAAAAGAATATGTTTCATCAACTTTCATGTAAACATTTTTCATGCGGACATCATGTTTCATGTACAGAAAGAATTGCACTGCAAGTCAGCGAAAGAAAATGCTATCAAGTCAGCGAAAGAAACTGCTATCTTCCTAAACCCTAACCCTAAACCCTAAACCCTAAACTGCAATATCGTGTCTTGTATTTCGTTGTATAAGGGACGCTGGACCCGGTTCCGAGCAGGTGAAGCTCCCGAGTCCCCACCAATGGAACGGAGCCATCCAGCAGAAGGCCCATCTATCCTGTCGGGTCTCCTACAGCAACGGGACCGAAGATCTTCATCGGATGTTTCAAATTTGAATAAAAAACAAAAAACGCAAAAAAAGATGTGTTCAGGTGAAGAACATCTTCCCTGTGAAGAAAGAATAGCACTGCAAAAGTCTCGCAAGTTAGTGAAAGTCTGAAAGAAGATACTATCAATGCCGCCCTCTCGGGCCTCTCAACCTTAATGGGGAGGAGCGTGGAGTGGGTCAACAATGTAACATCTTCTGACTTGCCGGGGGAATAGGAACCGGACTGTTGCTCCCCAGAATGGTAGGAGCCAGAACCCAGAGGTTCTGAATTAAAAAAAAAAAAAAAAAAAAAAAAAAAATCTTCCAAAAAAGCTATAAAGCAAAAAAACATGTTTCATGTAAAGAAAGGAAGTAGCACATCATGTATGGCTTTACTCTTGTGGAGGACATGATGTGGAAACGAAAAAGAACCAGAGTGACCTATGTGGAAACAAAAAGTACCAGAGCGATCGATGATCACTCCAGCATGGCCCTTCTGCCTTGTCCGCTCAGTTGGTTGAGATGGTAGAGCATGGTGGTGCTGGCGAGCACGACACAAGACAACGACGCAGCCTGCTTGTATGCCGATCTCTAGCTTCAGATCACATCGCAGGGTCAGTGACTCAGTGCAGTATGGAAAAGCTTCATCCCACAGCAGCAAGTAGGACGCGAGGCGAAGGACACAGCGAGCAGCTGGAGGACGCGAAGCGACGACACAAGAATGACATTAAGACCAAACACACGATCGCATCGCAGACTCCGATTTTGTCCGCTCAGGTCTGCAAACAAAAAAATATTACGTTTTAAAACTTCATATAAAAGTGCCACGTTCATCTTGAAACCTGCACCTTTTTCTTCACCATCACGCTCCATTTGACTGACAAAAACTACGGCAAGTCTGTGGGCAGAGGCCGGTCACCCCGTGAGAAAAACAAATTGTAGGAAAAAATTGTAGCAAAATCCATTAAACAACCTTCTGTGGGGGACCACACTGAGAAAATCCATTTCATTTCAGTCTCAAATCAACATCCATGCTTCTCAGGAGAAATGAACCAGATCAAATAAAAAAGATAATTATAATCGAATGATCGAAGTTCTCTTGCTTTCATCCCCTTTAAACCACCAGTACTTGGCCCAGCTATCGGCCGCGGCGCTTTCCCGTTAACGCGCCGCGCCTTTAGGGCTTCGGGGTACCGGACCTCAATGGCTGGAAGCGCCAGCCAAAACAATTTCGAAACGGTACCCCGGAGCTTCGGCGAAAATCGGCGCGCAGGGGCATTCCAGGCTCGGCATCGATAGCTGGGCCAAGTACTGGTGGTTTAAAGTTTAATTAAAAAAAAAAAGCGGCAACGGCTCCTGGGTCACCCCCAGCGATTGCAATAGGCAACTTCAGCAGTTCTCGAAACAGGGCAAAAAAAAAAAAAAAAAAAAGCTGTTAAATGAACATAAATCTGCATTCGCGCCACTTCAAAAAAACGGTCGCAGTTTCAAACCCCTGCTAAACTTGGACATTTTGAAACTCAAACCATGACGTCAGTGCCACTTTGCCTTTTCTTGCCTATTTCAAACTAAAAACTTAAAAAGGTGACTCAGGAGCAGTTTCCCCTATAAAAAAAAAAGAAGGATAGACTGCTTGGTAATAATGAGTGCAAAGTTTTGCAAATACCAAATGCAGGAGGTCAGAATGCCACCGCAGCACTACACTAGATTGATTTTATTATTTTAGTATTTGAATTTTTAAACCACCAGTACTTCTGAGGCACTTTTCTCCGGGTCTGGAAACGCCCTGCGTGCCAAAAAAAAAAGAGAACAGCGCTGGCCTCCTTTCGGCTGGTGCCGGCAGCCATTTTGCTCTGGAGGCGGAGCCCCAAAAGTTGCGGCTGCATGCAAGCCGAATATTTTATTTCATAGTGGGGAAACGTGACCAGGCGACCCAGCTGGGCAAGGGCCGGGCAGGGGCCAGAGAAGGTCCTTGCAAACGAAAAAAAAAAAAATCCAAACACATCGGGAAAAAAAACTATGTATGTTGTGCAGAAAAATAAACTAAACAACTTTTTTTTTTTTTTTTTTCTTTTTTTTTAAACAACTTTCCATTCCATTATATGCCGGAAAGCGGGTCCGGCGTCCCTCACATATAACCGCAGCCATGTAGGGCTGGGAAAAGCACTCCCGACCAATCCCATCCCTGACCGCAGCCAAAAAACTCTCAAACCCTAGCTACTCGCCACAAGGGCCCTTTTCCCCAACTGCAGCCAACAAATTCTATCAAAGGTTGTTCAAACCCTAACTGCTTGCCACAACCAAACCCAGAAAATCTCAAGCCATACTACCACAGTTTATTTCTAATTAGAACATGCCCAAAATCAAATCCTATCAGAGCGCAAAACCAAACTTCTAAAGAGCAACTCCTTCTCATCTCCAAATTCTACCAGTTATACTACCCACGTGTCTCAAGAACCGAATAACAAAAATCGAACCTTCTAATACTCCACTGAATCCCAAAAAGCCCTATCTACACCAACTCGATTTACTACAAGAACTACCCCTGGTTAATCCACGTCAAAAACAGTAGAGATCAGTCGAGCAAGCCATTCAACATCCCAACAATTACTAAAGAAGAAACAAGCATACCTAATTAGCAAAATATTTAATCTCTCTCTCTTCAAAGCGCTTGGATTGTATCAAATCAACTATAGACAACAATGTTTCGAAGAGAAAGGAAAACAAAATAACAAAAAACAATCATAGCATCCTAAATAATCCCTAAATTAGTAGTCCTATAGTAAAACAAACTGAAAAACGGTCACAACATTACCCATCAGATTCTGCAATTTCCGTTACCAATCAGATCTGAAGAATCGTGAGGCGCAAAAACCGCTGATCCAGCTGGAAAATAAGGCAAGAAATCAGCAACCCCATCAATATCTGCTGGGGTTCCCCAATAAGCACCCATCATCAGCCTGTGACTGTATTACATCGCGACGCCCCCAAATGGCAGCAACAGCCATCGTGCAACAAGAAGCTGGCAAACTCGGCATCGCCAATCACCGGCCATGGCTCATTGGAAACGCGAACAGTCGAGCAACCCAGCACTTGTAAGGCAACCCTGGCTGAAAAGGGCAGAGGAGGTATTGAACCCAAGGGTCTTCGAAAGCGTGTATCATATACGCAATGGAAGGTAAGGGTTCTTAACATCCCACGCCAAACTGCAGAGCCAGTATCTATGGACTCGTTTGCCCAGGCCTCTCCATACGTTTATCCTCCAGGCATCTCCATAAGTTGATCCTCCAGCTCTATCACCACTCTTGATCGCGGCAGAATGACCCCGTCAACATCGTCATCAGCAAAGCTCCGTATCTGTAACCAGGGGGATCGACACCCCTGATCGGTTTTCGTATTCTGAAATATGCGGCGACCGGATCTTGCCCGTCAATCGCCCCCACATCGTCTCCATCCCTCCACGGTTGAACAGGATTCCTGGCTTTCGCCAACCGAGACCGGTCGTAGCCAGAGGCTTAGTATCACCTCTGTGAAGCGCCACCCCCCCGCGCCCGCGTGCCGTACTCCACGTGTCGCCTCCGCCACACTGACAGCAAGCTCTGGCATGCGAGACCAAGAACCGCTGGCCCCGCTGTGCGATCCCCTGCTGCCCGTCGCCGCCAAGGGCGACGTGTCAGTACTGTGTTACCACAGTGCTGAAGCGCTGCCAGGGGCGGCGCGCTAGCGCTGTGCTAACGCAAGAAGCGTTAGCGCAGCGCTAACGCGCCGCACAACTTTTGCCACAGGTTCACACCAGAAATCTTTGCCTGAGTATTAACCAAAAAAAAAAAAAAAAAAAAAAAAAAAAAAAGATTTTTATTTTTTATATAGGCTGGTCCCCGGGCCGGCTGGTGGCCTGGCCGTCGCCCGGGGGGGGTGCCGGGCCGCCTGGCCAGTTGCCGTGCCCGGTTGGCCACCGGACGCCCCCAGCGCATCACTGTAGGTTAGTTTGTTTGTTTTTTTTCGGCTTTTTTTTTTTTTTTCGGCGCTGGGGCCCTTTTTGCCCCCTTCATAGACCGTGTGGACTGCAAAAAAAAAAAAACGGGGCCAGTAGGCCCGATTTCACTGATTTGAAATCGGGCCCCATCTGGATCGTCGATCTCGAAGATCGACGGCCCAGATTGCCCCGATTTCAAATCAGTGAGGGCGGGAACTACCGGCCCCCGTTCCCTCGCCCATGCTGAAGATGTGCCCCCGACGTCCCCCATTCCCTGCCTTGCAGCACTGTGTGTCCGCCGGCCTTCGACGCACAACTTCAACACGCTTCTTCGACGCACCCCGCCGGCACCTGCCAACGCCCGCCATCGTGCGTGACCCCACCGTCGCCCGCCAACGGCCGTCTTCAACAAGGTAAGGGACTTAGTTGGGGAGAGAGAGAGAGAGAGAGAGA